AGTTACAGTGGTAAAATATTATGCACTGATACAGTGCACAGTAAAAATATTGTAAAAGTGATATGTAATATTAAAAAGTATAAGTAGTACAAGTTGTAGTAAAGTGAATAATATAAAAAGTGAGTACAACAGTATATAATAGATTGTAAAAGTGATATGTAATATTAAAAAGTATAAGTAGTACAAGTTGTAGTAAAGTGAATAATATAAAAAGTGAGTACAACAGTATATAATAGATTTATAATAGCACAAATTATATGTATAATACCATAATAAATAAATGAATAACAATAGATAGCAATAGCAATAGAATAGCAAGTAGAATATGTAATATCAAGGGTGGAATAATACAGAATAGACAATAATGAAGAATAAATTAATAGTAAATTATAAAGTAAAATAAATAATCATGAAATGTAGTTTTATAATAGTATTTGTGTAATAATTATTAAACAAAGTAAGATGCAACTAATGACACGACACAAAACATTGTGGTCGTGAATTCCAAATTGTGTTTAATTAATGAGCTCCTTGAGTATAATTTATATATATATATATAAATAATAAAAAAATCCTCTGAATCAATCTCCGCTCAAGGTACACATTTTATTTCAGTTTTCAGTTCTAGCTTTCCCTAGGAATAGAGTGGTTTAGTTGTGATGACAAAACCTGACTAATAATTCTCCACCGCTTCCCTCAAGATTTTCCTATATTTTATTCAATTAATGAGTAAAATAATGTAAACAATGCAAATTGCACCCACCCATGCAGAAAACACCATTTTTGAGTGTGGTTTGAATATGACCAGGGTCATTCTGGCCATTCATTGGGGGCTATTCTGAGTTTTAACTAGTACAAATACAACATTAGGCTGTGGAAGTATAGCCTACTAGCTTGGAAATGCAGAGAACAGGCTTTTTTCAGCTTTCTTTAAGGCTTGCGTTGTCCTGTTTGCAATTGGCTAAAAAGGAAGAAAAAAATTATATATATATAGGCTATATATATTTCCTTGTTGTTTGTGTGTGTGTGTGTGTGTGTGTGTGTGTGTGTGTGTGTGTGTGTGTGTGTATCACCAAAAAACAC